AATTTATAGGAAATGTATAGTTCTGTCCTAAATATTTTAATCTTTGTGTGCCAAGTTACAGGCTTTCACAGAAGATAATCTGTTAGTGTCACACCTTCTCAGTTATAAGTCTGAAAAACAAAGCTGAGTGTTTCTTCCTCAGGCTCTGGTACTCTGGGAAACTGCTGCAGAAGTGTGTCACGAACAAATGCTTCGGTTTTCTTTCACTTCTCAGAATCTGCTCTGGTAGTTTAGAAGACCAGCAATGAAAGTGGGGTGGATCATAACCAAATAGGTCGCATATGTGTTTATTTAGGTCTACAAAAATAAAGTAAAATCCGAAGCTGTTAGTGTTTCTGTCACGAACTGGAAAAACAAAATTAAACTGATGTTAGAATATCAAATTCCCTCTTCAAAACTGATTTCCTAGTAGTGCTGTTCCCACTTGCAGTTAAGTGAACATGCCTGTTTCAGACTATGCATATGGCGGTTTCTGAGCAAGGCTGAGGGTCCCCTTTGCCCCCTGAGATTCTCTTCACTTTTCTCGGTCTGCTTGGAAACCCTCACTTGGGAACAGGGAGACAGATCCAGAATTTCTGTTCGTCCCCTGCCTTCCTGCCCTGCCACAAATATTAGCAGGGTTATCTGAAGACTTAAGGAAACAAACTTTTTATTCCAAAGCCTTCATTTTATTGATGTAGATGATGGTTGCTTGAAGTATAAATTAGGATTTGATTTTGCGAAGGAAAAAAAAATCTTTTGTTGCTAGGACTTGTAGCAGTCACGTCACATAAATTGGCAGATCTGTGTATTTAAGGGATTTTACACTCTAAATGCAGTAGTAGTCTTTTGCCTTTTGAAATGAAACCTTTTTTTTTCATTTGCTACATACTTAGGGAACAAACATGCTGTAAAAATCCTTAATGTATCCAACTATTTGAACATAAAGAACATCAAGCTGTTATTTGTTCTGTTGGAGTGTACTCATATTTCCAATCTGAATCTTTTGTACCTGGTGATCTTAATTATATTTGAGCTGGAAGTAGTTTAACATTAAAAGGAATTACAGCAGATTAATCTGTAAACCTGCACAAATATCACATTCCTTTGTATGGAGGTAAGCAGGGCATAGTGTGCATAATTACGTGTTGTTCTCTGTGTAGGTTGTGCATGTAAGGCTGAGGAGTCAGTGTTGCAGTTCCTCGTGAGAGCATCAATTATGGCATGCTCGCTCTTGTGTCTTGCAGTGGTCAGTTACATTAGAAAACATACATTATTCCTCTCAGTAAGGTAATCTTCCTTATAATAAGAACAAGCAAGCAAAAAAAATTGAAAAACCCAACTTGCCCTGGAAGCAGGAATTAGTATACTAATTAGCGTACGAAATACAGAGAAATCTTGTAAAGAATGTTTGCTGTAATATTTTTTTTCTAAAGTGATATTGCTTGAGGTCAATCCAAGAAGGCCATTTATCTCAACCATCCAAAATGACATAAAGGTATTGGTTTACACTTTTTGCATCTGGAGAGACGAAAGAAAATCACTAGAACTGAATTGGGGGAGGTCTGTTTCTCGAGTCCTGATGCAAAAACATTGTTGGAATCCAGCTGCACCAGTTTAGCCTCAGTTAGAGCAGCAGGAGAGCAGAGCCTCAGCAAATGAGAATCGTAGTTTGTACTGGTAAATACATCTTTTGACTCAAAGTATCAGTGAAGTGTAGTTGTCTAGGACTAAGGCCTTTTGATTTGCTTGTGTTTTCAAGGATGGTCAGATGGCACTATTGAGCCCATTTAGGAACAGTTTGTCAGATGACAGGTAGAAAAAGGAAGTTTCAGGAGAAATATAGGAGAAGAACAAGCCATTCACATGCAGTCTGAGTTACAGAAGATGTGTCTCTTGGACTATACCAGCTACCTGCTGGTCAGCATCCATATAAATTTCCAGATGGCAGGTTAAATTTCCCAGTTAGTTTGATGTTCATGCATCCATTCATCTTGCATAAGTGCTACCTTATTGCAGTGGCTCTGGAAAAACTGTTGTAAATTTTGAATTTAGCATGTGTATGTCTACCGGTAATGAAACTTCTGGCAAGTCTCAAGAATTACTTGCATTTCATGAGACTAATGCGGGTGTTGCCTGTGGGACTGGCTGACGTGTTCTGACAGTTCTGGTTTCATCAGTGTCCCATTGCCTCCTGTCCTTTGAATTTGGAGCGTGCTCTTTGGTGGTGCTTCTTGAATCCCTCTAGTGAATGCTTGATGGTGACCACAAGTGATCACAAGGCAGCTAAACGGAAACATCCTTCTTGAAATTGAGGGTGCCGTAAGTAAAACACAGATTGGTGACTAGTCACTGTAAGAGAATTCTGGGGATTTAAAAAAAAAAAAAAAAAAAAGGCAGGACAAACAAAATTCTGGTTACTTTCAGTGATGAAGCCTTCTAGTGCCCTGCTGTTAGCCATCAGCTGGAAACTGAACCCCCTTTCAGCACTGCAGGTGTTGTCACAGCGAAACATTCTTGTGCCTTTTAAAATCCTTTCTCTTTTTAAGCTGAATTCTGGAGGGACATTTTTGTTTGATAGTTGCTGTTTTAGAAAGAATTTCTCTTTTTAACTTAATGATGATCTATTAGCAGTGAGGAAGAGGGAGATAAGAGACTATTCTATTCAGGCTAAGCAAGAAGGTGGTGTTTCATGTGTTCATGTTTTTTCACTGCTTTTTGTAGCTTTTCTGCTTAAAACAAAAGTACAGTACACACTGGGACTTTGCAAGCTTCCCCATATAATGTTGCCAGTGTATTTCCACCCTGATTTGCAGCATGCCTCTTATTACAGACCTTGGCCTTTTCTGAGCACAACTGCTGACTATGCCAAATTCACATAGCTGTTCTGTGATGAGGACAAGGATCATCTAGCGAATAAATGGAGAACACAGTATTCAATTTGCTGGTGACCTTGAATTTGATCTCTCTTCTACCCTAAACAGCCTAGTCAATCTCTGTCCTGTTTAACCCATGTCATCATTACTGGTATATCATACAGACACTTCTGCAACTGCCTTTTCCTTGATACTATAGTATTTAAATTGCCAAAAGAAAGAACTAAGAGTGAACAAGGAAAGAGCTACCATAAATTCTTCTTCACCTTTTCCTTAGCAGTGTCAGAAATGGCCACAAAGGTCTTTCCCAGTCTTTCTGTTCATTTTTATATTTGTCTGAGGTAGAAACCACAAGTTTGATTGATAATGCAATTTGCATCTTGAGGCATCACTGGAAATACAATGGCATGAAAGGCTACTCCGGCGGAGCGCACTTTTCCCCCTGGGCTGACTTTAGAAACTCATTGATGTCACTTCCTTCCTCAGTCAGCAAGTGAATTTTCACTAATTCTCAAGACCAGCTGTCCATGCTGTCAACAGAAAGTTATTAAAATTCCTTTAAAGTGAATCAAAATAGCCTAAAAACAAATGTACTGGGAAACAGGAAAGCATCAGTATTCAAAGTCCACAAACCTTTGAGCAAAATAGTGTTGATCTAACCAGAGATTTCAAACACTCTGCTTTCCTAGCAACTTGTATATCATTAGAGAATGCTAAAAACACATACTCTTTTAATCTTCTATTACCAACGATCTATTTGGTTAAAATATTAGTTACAAGAATAAATTCTGTTTCTCCCAAAGATGAACTCAGTGAACACGGGAATACATTTTGAGAAGTCTCCCCTAAATGATAGTTGGGTTTTTTTAGCCAAAAAAGCATAATTTTTATATTTAGCAAATAAAAACATAACACAAGCATACAGGAAATAATTATCATGAGACAATCTTATAATATAGCCTAAAGCTATTATCTGAATTATCTAAAATGCTTTCCTTGAGAAGAGGAGTATTCTCAGGGACAAGTAGGGAAGATCATTTTTCTTTAGTTAATAGAGTCTTAAACTGTATTTTAACACTTAAAATTTAAAATTTTTACCTCATTTTAAAAAGTCTATCTTGTGCCACACATACCAGTACAAAAAACTTCTGTTGAAATGGAGTATCATTTCCAGTGCTGGACAAGGCAGCCACCCATGCTAGGCAGAAGCAGGCTCCCTGACAGTTAATAGTGATACTGTCAGGTTGTAAACAGTGTCCTATCATTATTACTTAAAAAAAAAAACAAAAACAAACAAACCCTCTCTGAGTACATGTAGCCTAGCTGGATAGGTAAGTGTGAAATTCCTGACTTCCCCCAATACCTGTGGATGGTCTCCAGTAGCAAAGGGAGGGTAATTGATACCAGCTACCCTTTTGACAACTAGTGCATGGGAACAGTAAATGAGGCAAAATTGCTGTTCCTTTTGATCTGAAAGGAAAGAATAGGTGTGAGGTATCATTGCTGCTAGGGTCCCAGATGGCTGTAGAAAAGCAATGTTCTGTCTAGGCTTTGTTCATGTCTTCAAGAGCACAGTGAAGGACACTGCAGAAGGCCAGAATAAGGAAGCAAGACCATAATTCAACTTGCCACTTTGTGGACATTATCAGGATAGGGTTTCTCCCTTGAGCCAGCTGGTGCCTAACCTCAGTCTTGACACAGGCACGTAATTTTATTTTAGGGTAATGGCAGAAGCTGCTTTTCTCCTGTAGTGGTCAGATCCTGAGCTGGATGCTGCCTGTCTCTCAGGCAGGCATGTATACATGCAGCAGTACATCTCACAACATTAAGATGCTTCATAGCACATATTTGAAATTTGCTGTCTTTGCTTTGAATGTTATAATTCCGTGTGGGGTTCCAGGTTTGCAAGACTGGCTATCTATCTCAATCTTCTTTTTATCACATCTTGATTAAGAGGGGCTTGTGTTCTTTTACTCTAGGTGGATTTCCATTCTGAAGTTTCAAGTCATTTGTACATGTTAAGTTCTATTTCTTAATTACAAGGTTTGATTATTTTTTTTGCTGAATTCACTGTTTCTTGTTCTGTATGTGCATGATCATATTCATTAAAGTATGTACAAACTAATTATTTTCTTTCTCTTTCAGATTCTGGAGAAAAATTGCAACAACAGATAATTAATCAGGTATTTTGACACTTTCATACTTCTTGTTACTTAATTTTTCATGTAGAAGAATTGTAGCAATTACAAAGAGAAGAATTTCACATGACAGACTAATATTAACTATATAAGTACATTAAGGACCACATATCAGACAACTGCCTAGCTCTGCAGATGTGTCGAATTCACAAGAGTAGCCATCATTTTTATTTAAACCTAAAATTTGCCATTTAAGCAATTTAGTTCATCTAATTCTCAATGTGTTGATGGTGAGGACAAAGCCTAGAGGCAATTTGTTCATTGGTATCAAATTTTGTAGCACAGAATTATGCTTTTTTTTTTAAAAAAAAAAGTAATATTTCTTCTGTTTGCTAGTATTCCTTTTAAAAAACAGAAAGCTATCGATATGAAATACCTGCACAGCACATGTAAGTGGTGTCTTTCAATGTTGTTTAGGTTTTCATTTCTGCCATGAATTTTCACTGAGGCTTCACTAAACTGTGACATTGCTTGTGGAGGCGTTTTCTGTCTTTATTACTGTATCAGTTAGCAGTAATTATTTAGAAAAAAAAACTTTATATATTGCAGTTTAGTATTTCAGCCTCAGGAAAAGGATATAGGAACTATACTGAAAAAAACATTTCCCCTAACCAGAAAGAGAGGAGGAAACCCAGAGTTTGCTTTCCTAAATCACATTCTCTTCCGGATTGAAACGATCTGACTCGTACAGAAGCGTTGTGTTGCTTCTCATTCTCGGCTTCTTGTCCTCTTACTGAGGCTGTTAACCAGATGGCATATAAATGGGTATCTGTATTGTTCGTGAGATTTATTTTGAAATGTCACTTAAAAAGCAGTCATTAAAATGTTTGTATTCCAGCAATTACCCTCCCTTAAGTAGTCTTCCTTCCAAGCTATAAATTGAGACATTGGCATTATTACATCACTGTTACCTGTGAATTGATCATCTAGACGGAGGACTAACCCGCCAGGTGACTGAACACCTAAGGCAGCCTGGTTTGGGTCTAACAGCATTTCCCCTGCAGTGGCAGAGCCCAGGACAGGTGTCACTGTGTCACTTCCAGTGGCCTGAGCTGGCACTGCTCCTGACCAAGTAAGCTTATGCGGGTCTGGAAGCTTATGGGAAGCCTGGTCCTGAGACACCAAATAAGAGCCAGGGTTTTTTTTTCCATCAGAGTTGTTACAACCTTCCCGTTATCTTGAGTAATTGATGGGTGAACGTATTTAGCCCAGAATATGGCATTACATAAGCAAAGGAAAATCTTCACTTTTTCTAAATAAGTGTAGAAGCGTTTTGAAACTTAATGAAAGTTCTGTGCTTTGACTGAGTTTATATCCTAAAACAAGCCTAATTAACTTTTAAAAACAAAACTGTATTTGAAAATTAGCCTGAAATGTCTTGCAAAATCACTTCTGGGAGTCCTTATTGGCCAGAAGAGGGGGCAGTTGTATTTTTAAAACACAACTTGAGGCTACATTGACAGGGCTGTGAATGGCTGATTGGAGACCTAATTCTGCACGCTTTCTGTGTGACAAAATCAGCTCTGTAAGAGCGTATTGTGATAAAAAGGACATTTGTCGCAGTTGCAAAAGGTGGATTAGGTAACCGTACTTCGTGTGACCAGTCTTGGTCTTTTCCTGCATGCCACTGCCTTGCCCTCCTCGAACTGCTCACCTGCTCTGTATCTCTGCAGTTAACTTAAGAACATCTAATTTTGCAGGAAAATTGCCTTGTCTTGATATGTGGAATGTGTATCTAAATAAAGCTGTAAAAAGTTCAGTTGGGGACAAATGGTAGACACTCACTTTTAAATGGATACTGGTGAAGCTGGTGATGGCCCATTCCACACTGGCTTCCTTTGGACTTCCAAGAAATGGAATAATGTTTCAAATTAGAAATCAATTTCATTTTCAAGTCTATAATTTAGGGCACAGTTGCAGAGGCACTGCATACTTGATTTGTAGTAATATTACTTCAATAAAAAGATTTGAACTGGGGTTGACCCTAATGGAATATCTCCCATAGAAGGATTCTGTTTATTTTCAATACTGAACTTGAAATTTTATATGTGGGATAAGATACTTATCTGGCTTAAGATCCTGTAGTCCCCTTGAAGTCAGTGCAACAACACTGAGTTAAACTGGCTGCCAGAAATTTAAGTGAGGGAGAAGTGGCTCTGCAGAAGATGAACGATGTTATAACTTGACAAGAGCAGGAGTGCAAAAGGGCAAAGAGCAGGAAATGTCTTGTTGAGAGGTGACTGAAACAGAGAGGGGATGGGGAAATGATAAGGCTGATGTCTTGGTGATCTCCTGCTAAGTAAACCCCTCACTGTCTGTGGAGATCTGGGACTTCTCACATCTTGAAGACCACTGTTGTTTCTGTGTGGTTTGCAGCTCTTTCTAAAGCCTAAGCAAAGTTTGGTGAAATATGACATAGGTAAAACACCAAGGTACTATCTGCTTCCAAAAACCCTTGACTACAGTTACCATCTTCACTGGCTCTTGTTTCCTTTGATCATAAGGCATTTGCTGGTTTTCCTTGAGCACCTTTTCTGTCAGTTTTGTGTATAGGTATGCATGTTCATTAACAGCAGCAGTCGTCTACCACTCTGCCTGAGCAGGGGCATCCAGAAATGGTGTGCACTCTGCTTTTCAATACCTGTTTTTAACTACCTTTGCAACTTCAGGGTAAATCCTGGCACCGATGTACAGCCTGATTAGCTGTAGCGTATTAACTACTGCTAAGGGAAATGCAAGGAAACAAGAACAAACCTTGTGCTTCTAACTGTGTAACAGTCTTGGCTAAAAAAGCACATTACAGACCGCCAATCAAAATGTGTCTGAAGGCAATCCTTTATGTTTCGTCCTTACCACTCAGATTTGTCTGTGTTGTGGTCTTAATGTATACTCCTACATGTGGTTTTGCCCAGTGCCTCTCAGAAGCTCTGAAGGACTAATAAGAATATGCATACTTGCATTTAGAAGCTGAAGTTGTTTGAACAGTCTTAACTGTGTTTAACTTTTGGGTTAAAATCCCAGCTGTGTTTGAGCTCAGACTTGAGCCTATCCCTTCTGCAGTGAAGCTGCAGGTTGGGTGAGGAGGCTGGTGAAAGTGCTCCACAATATCTGTCCCACTGTTGTGTCCCTGAGGAGCTCTTTTCTCAAGGCAAACTCTCTTGCAGTGGCATATCTATCTCTTAGTCTTTTATCATCTCTGTCAGGGAGCATTTCCCTTTCTGCACATGGGGTTGGGGAAACAGTAACACAGAAAGGACTCTGATGAAGCAATGTACTTGCTAGAGCTAGGCTTGGACCAGGGATAACTACAGCTCTGATGTACTTCATCCTCTCACATGACCTAGCTAGGAAAAGTTCAGTCCATGTATGCCAGCTTCCAAGTGCTGCTACTTTGAGGTTATCTAATAGGTATGTCCCTTGCTCCTGTTTTCCCAGTTTGGGGTCATATTCCTCAGTGTTACTTACTTTATTCCCCCAAGATTAGGAGTTTGAAAATCTTCAAGAGAGCTAATGCATTTAGCCCATTTAACAAACTGAACTATTTCTTCACTTTCATGTGCTTCATAGAATCACATAATGGTTGAGGTTGGAAGGCACCTCTGGAGATCATCTAATCTAACCCCCTTAGTCAAAGCAGGGTCAGCTAGAGCAGGTTGCTCAGGATCACATCCAGATGGATTTTGAGTACCTTCAGGAATGGAGACTCCACAGCCTCTGGGCAACCTGTGCCAGTGCTCGATACTCACATAGTATAAAAGTATTTTCTTATATTTAGATGGAATTCCTTGTGTTTCAGTTAGTGCCTACTGCCTCTTGTCCTGTCACTGGACACCACTGAGAGGAGTCTGGCTCCATCTTCTTTACTCCCCCTCCCTCCCCCATCAGGTATTTATATACATTGATAATATCCCCCTGAGCCTTCTCTTCTCCAGGCTGAACAGTACCAGCTCTCTTGGCCACTGCTTGTATGTCAGATGCTCCTATCCCTTGAATATCTTTGTGACCCTTCACTGGACTCACTCCAGTATGTCTATGTCCATGTCCATTTATACACTGAACTCATTCCAGTATGTCCATGTCTCCTGTACTGGGAAGCCCAGAGCTGGACACAGCACTCCTGGTGTGTCTCACCAGGGCTGAGCAAAGGTGAAGGATCACCTCTCCTGATCTGCTGGAAGTGCTCTGCCTAATGCAGCCCAGGAGGCTGTTGGCTATTTTTGCCATGAGGGTACATTGCTGGCTCACAGTCAGCTTGTTCTGCAGGACCCACAGGTCCTTTCCCACGAAGTTGCTTTCCAGCTGTTCAGCCCCCAGCCTGTACTGGTGCATGGGGTTGTTCTTCCCCAGGTGCAGGACTTTGCATTCCCCTTTGTCATCAAGTTCCAATTTACCCATTTCTCAAGTCTGTTAAGGTCTCTCTGAATGGCAGCATAACCCTCTAGTGTACCTGCCACTCCTCCCAGTTTTGTATGTCTGCAGACTTGGAGAGGGTACATTCTGTCCCATCATCCAGGTCAGTAATGAAGATGTGAAACAGTTTTGGACCCACCGTCGACCCTGGGGCACTAGTGACTGGCCTCCAGCTGGATTTTGTGCACAACCATTTGAGCCTAAGCAGTTCAGCCAGTTTTCAGTCCAACTCACTGAACACTTATCTTGTCTGTACTTCATGAGGACTTTTTGGGAGCCAGTGCCAAAAGCCTTACTAAATTTGAGATAAAAAACATTCAGTACTCTCCCCTCACCCACTGAGTCAGTCATCTCATCGTACAGGGCTATCAGACTGGTCAGGCATGATTTCCCCTTCATAAATCAGCACGAAGTCCAGCTGGAGGCCAGTCACCAGTGGAGTACCCCAGGGGTCACAGCTGAATAAAATACTGTTTAACTTCTTCATTGCATACCAGGATGATGGGACGGAGTGTACCCTCAGCAAGTTGTCAGAGGATACAAAACTGCGAGGAGTAGTTGAGACACCAGATGGG